TCATCGTCGTCGTTCGGATCAGCATCGGTCAGTTGCATCGAGTACTGCGGATTCATTGCGTACGTCCCTGCAAAATAACGATCGAGTCATGAAACGCTCAAAATCCTGGGAGTACTCAAAACGATGGCTTCCTAAACTTCAAAGAGAGTAAAACCGCTTCGCCTGCTTTTAAGCCTAAGCGTTAGCAACTTATTTTATTCAAAAAAATACATAAACGAGATAACATAAAATGCGTCTAACGGAACTGCAATTTCCGACTTTTAGCTCCCACTGGTGGTGTCGTTCTCGTGGAGCCTTTTCTGACGTGCTGTAATGGCATCGCTTTTTATGTCTCCTCTGTTCACAAAGGGTGGCGACTCCGTTTGTGACTAGTATCTTCGTTGTCGTTCCGTCGATCTTCGTCATCCGTTGTTGTGTTGCTATGCCCCCGGCTGGCAGAGGGCAATGAGCAGGTTCTGATCGCCGTCTTTTCGCAGTCTGCCTCAGTCCCCCAACATCCTGCGCGGCTCTTGGTAACCTGGGCGACGACCGAGCTGGTATAATTTTCGATGGCCTCAGTACCTTGAGTGGCAGGTGGTTGTGGCTAAATTTTACGAAGACTTGCCACGGTCTCCAACCCTCCTCCTTTCTCATCCGGGCTTGGGACCGGCAAGGGCGGAGTTTCTACCATTTCTAACAAGTTAAATATTACGCAGTTCTGGCCGGTTTAAATAGCCGGCTTATCACGTATGAGCAAGAAAACGGTACCTATAACTCGGTTTGATGGGTTCTTTGTATGCGCGAATAAAGGGTATATTTTAAATAAGGAAGTGAGGTTCCGTTACTTTGCACGACGCAGGCAACTGAATTCTATGTTAAAGGGCACTTCATAAAACATGTGACTACTTGCATAAAAGTTTCAGTTATTAAGTTAAACAGATACTAACATGTTGCAGAAGTGCGACATGCAATACAAAATTTAAAATGAGGAAAGGCATTTTACAAAGTGAGCAGCGGTTTCTCACGCTGTTCGAACGAACTCAAAAATGCAGACGATTGACCTACCATTATTGGTGCTTCTACTAAACAAAACTGGAGACAGGATTTGAAAAATTACAAGCCGATCAGTTTGTTATCAATCATCTAGAAGATTTTCTCGCAGGTATTTACAAACAGACCAAGAAAAACTGGATGCTGCACAGTAAATGGAGCAAGTAGGATTCGGAAATGGGTTCAGTACGATGGATGATTTCCAGGTAGCGCAACAATTCAAACAAGCAATGAAACGAATGTCAGCTTACTCTCTGCCTGGAGTTCGTAGAATTCAAGGAAGCTTTTGACTTAGTCTACACTACGTACTGGATTTACCGATGAGTCAGCGAATCAAGAAAAGTTACAAGGCCGCAGCCACGATCTACAAAAATGCAGCTGCAAGTGTGACGTTACACAAAACTACAAACAAATTCAAAATCGAATAGAGCATCTGAAAATGGGGAAATGCAATATCAGCGATGTTATTCCTAGCAGAAGTTCTCAAGATACTGTGTTGGCTAGATCAGCAGCTGAAAATAAATTAGTATTAAATAATAAACATGGTTTAAGGATGATATTCAAATCTTCTCAAGGTCGCCAGAAGAACTTTGAAAATGAATTGAAGGGCTGAACGAAACCAGTGTGAAAATAGGGCTGGAAATGAAACTGAAGACGAATCAGGTCCTGTTCAACAAATACTGACCGTCTGACCTGTCGAAATCAGCGACTTAGCCTTGAAGAAGCACAAATCGAGTTCATCTGCGACAGCTCATCGCCGTAATGTATTATTGACTATCAATCTGACTGAAATCAACAGAAGAATAAAATGGCAGGAATAATTTTTGGAAAACTGAAAATGTTCCGGAAAACTGCTTTTGTACTTGAGGCGGAAAGTATTCGATCAGTGTGGGCGTTAAGTCCTATCGGTAAGAAACGTGGACCTGAGCATGAAACCTATTCGTAAACCGCACACTGCGTAACGCAGTATTGGAATATGTTGTGAACAAAAGGAAAATTAGAAGAGCGAAGAACGGGTGAGAAAATAAATTAGAAGAGGATGAGTGGGTACGTGGGTCAATTTGTCAGAGGGTAAATGGCTCAGTGGGTCAATGTCTCCGTGGGTCGGTATGTCAGTGATCAGTGGGGCACAGAAGTGTTCATGATGTCAGTGTCAGCATAATCAAGTTAAAATTATAATTACAATGGGCAGAGCATGTTGCAAGAAC